ATTTATTTATTTATTTTAATTTTTATTTTCTTACAATTCAGTCCCCTTGAAATGAACTGTAAAAGACTCCTGGATAGAAAGCTCGTTTATACATGGGGGCTTTCCAGCTATCTGCTCTTAACTGTTTCCATAGTGTATGAAAGCTGATTGGAATAGAATAATCTTAGGCTTTGACACACACAAGCATGTTAGTCTGGGATAACAAGATTAGGGGTGTTTGCAGGCCTGAATGCAGGCAAGAGGACAGCAATACATGGTGTTAGCACCTATTGCAGAAGCACCTGTGCCATGGCAGGGGCGGGCTGGTAAATCTCTGTCCCCACTCACCATGACACAAGCTACTGTGGCCAGCACTGGCATGGTGTAGCTCATGCAGGGTTACCTGGTTGGAGCCTGCAGCTGATCTGGAATAGCTCTTTGGCTTAGAGTTCATCATTTACCTTCAGGCGTGTTAGCATCTTAAGGTAAACCAGCCCTGAGAGGGACTTAAGGCTGAAGGCTCAGTCCTCAGTGTGTTAAATTCATACCTTGTTCAGCTTGAGCATAGCTGAGAGAGCTGGAGTGCACTGATCCTCAGCCAGCTGAAGGCCAGGGGGGCCTCGAGCAGCTCTGTAACTTCAAGGACAGTTTAAACTACATTACTCATGGCTGGCGTAGCAGAACACTTGCTCCCTGCAGCATGGCCCCTCGCTCTGATGTGCTTCCTCGTGCCAGCCAGGTCCAGCCATGCCCCTTCAGCAGAAGGAAATGCTTACACCAGCTTAAACCAGGAGGGGTTTCCCCATGTTGAGGGGAATTTCTGTCTGCCCCTTTTTGGGAGTTTTCTGGCTGGTTTTCAGTGAGAGACTATGAAGCAGCTGGAAACCTTTATGTCTTAAACTGGAGATTCTGGAAACCTCATTCTTATTTATTAGCGTCTGACTGATCTCTATCTATGATCTTTGTAATGTGCTGCCATGTGGGAGCCTGGAATTTGGGATGTGAACTTGTCCCTTATTCCCCGGAAGGAAACAGTTCCTACCAGCACAATGCAGGGAAGTAGCATTGGCATGCTCTGAAGGGAACCTCAGAAACTCCTTCAGTAGAGAAAAAACTTGGCTCATCACAGAGTAAGCAAAGGTGGTGCATGAGGGAAGTAAGGAGAGAAAATGAGTCTATCTTAATCTCTGGCAGAAACAGCCAATCTGTTACTGGAGAGTCCCACCCAAACCAAGGGGATTAAACACAACCTGCAAATACAACTGGCAGTGGGGAGGAGGGAGGAAAACTGCATTGTACAGAGGCACTTTATGAATTTGAAATTTGTTTAAACACAAGAAGAGAGTGAAAAAAACCTGTAAAAAATCCTTCCTTTCAGCAGAATAGAAAGCTAAAATACGATTTCGGACATAAAAAGGTTTTACTTTAAAAGCACTGCACAGTATCCTTTCTTCTCTTGCATCCCTCACCCCTTTCTGAACTGTGGGATCACCAGCAGCCCTCCAGCCCTTCAGCCACTCTGACTGTGAAAGAGCAGCGTGGGGAGATGTCCCACAAAGGCGGGCCAGTCTGCTGTTGCTTTTCTTGTTGCACCAGTACTCCAAAATCTCCCTCTGCTCATAAAGCAGGGCAGAGCCAGAAATAGAGTATGCTGACTAAGCCAACTGGATGACTCTGGAGACAAATTTTAAGGGGAGTAAAAGCATTCACCTCTGCAATATCAGAACGCAGAGGCTGCAAGTGGGAACAACATCTGTGGTAAGTCAGCTCTATCTCTTAATCAGGTCGACACCATCAGTGTCCTTTAGGAAACTTTTCCATTATTCGTCCCTTTCTTTTACTTGAAGTAAGAGTGGATTGTGTCACATGGTTGAGGAAACAATGATAAACACTTACCCACCCTGTTAATAAATCACTTGCAAGACTGCGCCTGACTGTGCTTTAATGGAGGAAATGGGAGTAACTGAAAACTGACCTTTTTACTGCTCCACAATTACTGATGCAAAGGATTTTTAACTAGTGCTCAGAGTTTTTGGAGTTTGGATTTTCTGCCCAATCTACCCTCTCCCCCACTTCCAGTGAATTGTACAGGATATTAAAAAATAGTATGAAAGCTGTGGAAGCAGCAAACTAAGGATTTTAAAAGCTGCTAGTTACTGCATTGATTTAGTAAAAAGGACCTGCTGCCACTGACAACTTGTTTTTCCCTTTTCAAGTTCATGGTAGCAGTTTACGTAACCCCATTTTGACAAAACTTGCTAGAAAACAATATTGTAAAACTGCCAGCTCCCTAGTGGAGAAAACTGGCAAACTTTACTTCTCTTAGTTTTGTAAAACCATGGATATAAATAGTGAGCGGGCCTGTGTGGCTCTGTTTTTGTTTTCTTGGAGTTTGCAAACACATTTTGTGTCACTGATATGCCACATTTAAACAGAGTGCACTGTATGATTAACTTAGTTTAATTTTGTCAGCATTTGTCATTTCTCATGCAGAAGGAAATCTTGTTCTCTGCTGTGTCTACATGTGGATGAATGGAATAAAATATTTACTGTACAGAGCTGAGAGACCAGATGCTTCTTTACTTCAGAGACTTTTAGGGAATGGGAAGTTAGGAAGTGCTGCAATTCATTATTTTGTCTCTGGCATGAATTTTGGGTATGGATTTTATTATGTTTTTAATAAGAAAAAAATATTTTTTTTACCTGGTTGTAAAGTATTGTCTATTACTGTTGGCTTTTCTGTATTCAGCACTGTAGTACCACCTGGAAAAGAGATTACGCATATCATGATACATGGGACACAGCAAAGGACATAGCAGTCATTAGGAATATCCTATATATAAATCTGAAATATTACCATCTTTATTAGACATGTAGGTAACTCAGTATGTGAGCTTAAGCATGAAAGTATGACGTTAAAGATCTAGTTTCCTTTATCAAAGAAGAAAACAATAACCCATCATTAAATAAAGCTGAATATCTTTGGAGTTCTTGCAAATACCAACTAATCAATCCTCACCATGTCCCTGTGGCCATCCTTGTTTCATAGACACTGATTTGCTCCAAATCACATGGGAAGTCAGCGACTGATCTCTGTGTCACCTCCTAACAGTCACCAGTTTGTGCATTCACCCATGACATGTTCTTTCTCACATCAGGGATGTGATGTCCTCCAGCCCCTGCCATGCTGGGTCTCCCTGTGCCTTGTTTCATAGCTGCCTATAAGACCAGCTCACAAGGGAGGTGCATGGGAACTGCCTGATTTTAGGATATAGCCTAAGGCAGGTTTTAGTTTTGTCTCAAAGAGCAGGAGGAATTAAGGACTTCCCTCCCCTTTGTCTTCTTCCTCAAGTAGACGAACAAGAGGTGAGTGGGGTCATGGCCCTCTCCTAAGCTCACTAATTGATATTTTTAAAATACTTGACTTTTTAAAGCAAGCCTCATATTGATAAAGGAAACAAAAAGTAAATTAGCACAATTATAAATGCGCAGTAGGGTGCTGATTACCAGTCAATGGCTTTTCTTTTCTCCAGCAAGCAAGTGCTTAAAGCATTATAGAAAGGATGACTATGATGACTTCCAACGAGAATGAATGCCCAAGCTGTATCAGCTTTATGTTTGTGAGAATGATCTGATGGGAAATGCTATAAGCCACGCAAATAGAGTAGCTCTGTATGGGGTCCAAATAGAACAGGAAGGAATCTGGCCTATAGCACAATTACAGTTAATTGCAAGGGAGGCTTCATTGTGATGCTCACATATGTGCAAGTGCTATCAGGGAAGCGACTCTAACAGTCCTATCCATGAGAAGCTGGGCACCACACTTGCATTGGGAGTAGATAAAAGAGGGTAAGGCACTGATGAAATCCCCTCTGCACTGCTCTGCTGTCCTTAATGGGCTACGAGATTGACATACTTTCTCTCTATGCATTTGGGAGGAAGAAAATAATGTTTACAATGTAATTATTGGTGAAATCACTTCTGTGCAATTTAGCGTTATACATAATGTCATCCAGACACTACAGTATTTCTACAGTGTCCAGAACAACTGGACATGCACTGCTTCGGGTTTCTGGTGGCATAGTAATAGATTATACTAAAGTGTTTGCACTTTTGTAGAAGGGCAATGTAGTAATTTTCAATTTTAGTACTGAAATAGGTTCAGTTTTCTGAAAGAGCCAGTGCTCAGGAAGGCTGGTGGCAGTTCCCTTGTCTTAGAGATTATAAACTGCTCCCTTAGCACAACCTGCAAAAATTGCCAGAGGGACTTTCTTCTGCTCAATAAGCTTTCCCTGAGGTACATGTGGGATGCAGTCCTGAGCTCCCTGAAGTGCAGAGACTATGAGAGATCAGGGAAGATGCTTGCACAGATCTGTCTTCTTCCTGTCACACAGCCTCCATCTATGTGAAATAGGTATCTGCCTATTGGGCTTTGCAAGCCAGCCCTAAGTGTAGGGCTTTGTAGGAAGCCCCAGCATTTCCTGACCTGGCTCCTTCCTTTCAAAAAAATAAATAAATTACAATATTTAGTAACACTGAAAGCTTTCTGAGCTGCCTTAACACAATGCAGACTATTTTATCAGAGTCCCTGCATGACTGTTTACAAAAAGAATAAGATTCATCCCGGACACTGATTTGAAAAGCAGTGACAGGGACTATGGAGTGTCTTTTCCACTCAAGAATTGGTTTTCAATTTATGATTTGCAACATGCATTTACAGGAGACATTGTCAAAGCTCAGAAAGGGTTTGCTGCTGAAACTGCGCTTTCATTTGTATCTGTTGTCGGATGTTCTACTTGACTGCTTCCAAAAGGCCAATCTCTTACCTCTTACCTAAGCTTTCCCAATGTCCTCTTGGATAGCTATTGCTAGATTTTAATGCTATTTTATATCATGGATATAAGAAGCAATAAACGTTTATTAGATAAGCACACCAGGGAGCAGTGATGAAATAACTTGTGTCGCTGAGTCCAAAAATAAGGTCAGTTACTGTAGATGTATAGATCTACCTCAGGAAGATCTCGTCAAACTGGCCCAGGGCTTTGTGGAGCAAGTGACCTCCAAGAGGAGATCAAAAACATAGTGATGCAGTGTCAGCTCTCTAAGGACATTGGTTCTGTGCAAAAGTGGGAGAATATGAAAACTAGCAAGCTTCCTCTGTTTCAGATGCAGACTATGTTACGTCTCTCCCTACTATTTTTCTGCTAGTGATGGTAGCTTGGAGAACATCAGCTCCTCTGTGGCTGTAATGCAGCACTGGTGGGGAAAGTAATGGAAATATTTCTGGTGGTATATGTGTGAGTATGCTTTGATGAAACAAATATGCTTTGTTTCTGTCTGGGAAAGGTTTGGGTCTGAGATTTGAGTCCTGTACTAAATGGTAGGTATAGAAGCCTGTACGTATCTTGAACCTAAACAATATTTCATTTTGAATTCTTCAGTCTCAGACAATAAACTTCAAAAGGTTTGTCCAGCTTTTTTCTTAGTAAGAGAAAGTTTGATTAGGATATTTGATTAGACACAATTCCTGCTCAAAAAAATTGCCCTCTCTTTCAGTTAGTCACTATTATTTGCTTCAAAAATTATGTAGTTGAGAAAACAATCAAAAGTATTGTCATATGTAAAAGGCAGATGCCCATGTTTTGACAGCACTGACAATACCAACTGCATACCAATGTCCATTTATGTCGAGTGATTAAATCAGTGCAAACGTTTAGCTGGTAACTGGTGGAACTGCATACCAATGTCCATTTATGTTGAGTGATTAATCAGTGCAAACGTTTAGCTGGTAACTGGTGATGGATATGAGCTACAATGAAGCTGCAATGGAATGAGGATGGTTTCTGCACCTGTCAGTTGGTAGTCATCACCTGTGCCACTGTGACAGTTTGCCTGGTCATCATCACACTCATCCACGGGTTTGCCTTCAGAAACAGTAGGGACAGCAGTAGGAGCTGAAACAAAATCCAGTCCTTCAGTTAAACATGTGCTGGAAAATTAGCATGCAATTGGCAGTAACATTTTGATAAGCACCATATGCTGCTTCATGTGTTGTATCTGAGGAAAGGAGCAACTCTACTTTGCAGGTTAGTATTTCTTTACATATCTGTTCTGTCTCCATGAGCCAAGGCACTCTGCTGTATCTGAGCTCAAGGGCTGAGCGGAGTTGGGCAGCAAAGCCCCAGACTGTCTATTCACTAGCTGATGTGTGTTTGTTGTTTCTACCAACAAGGAGTGAAAGCCTGGCAAGGCAGAACAGGAGGCTAAGGAGGGGTAGAAACCCCATCATTTTATTGCAGGACAAAGTGCCTATGAGTGGACAGAGGAGCAGGAGAGGTGCATGCTCAAGGTGGCAGTTCTTCAGCATCCACCACATTGCAGAGCACATGTGAGAGAGGAAATGTCTGAGCAGAGTCCTGGTAACAGTGGCAGGAAGGCAGTGAGATGTAGAATCACTTTGTGCTCAATGAGGAGATCTAGAAGGAGTTTCTTTTGTTTTTGTTGAAGTTATAAATAAGACATCAGTGATGTCAGTCATCCCTCCTGGCCACCTGCCTGCTTCTCATTGGTGATCATTTTCTGGTAGCTGCTGCATAACCAGCAAAATCTGACCTTTGTTATTACAGTTAAAAGCTTGAGATTTGTGAAGGTGCCAGAAAATATACCTATACTCCAGTATCTACAAAACATACCGTATCTGGAAAATCAGAATACAGATACTTGGTGTTATGTTTAGGTTTATGTTTTATGCTGCAGGTATAGTTGCCTGGCTTAAGATGATAACCACTCTGGGAATGCAATCCAGGCTTTTGTTTGTTCTCACCTGCTGTTATTTTCATTAACAATGTTTTACTCTCATTATAAGCTGTGCAATAATGCATCACTGGCATCTTGACCTGAAAATGTTAGGAGGGATGGTTGTTTCTGAAGTAACTATATTTTGGGATGAAATATGGCTCTTTAGGACCCCAACTTATGCTTTACAGGTACAATCTAGCCCTAGTTAAAGAAACAGTTCTGTACCTATTATGAATTATGCAGAGCCTCTGTTCCCCACATCTCTCTAAAAAACCCTCTGGGAGCTCCCTCTAGCTTTCTACACTGAGTTAAGTTTCTTATCTTGAGCTTCATGCCCCTGTATAGCCCCAAGCTTGCCTACATCTCTGCCATCATTTCATATAAGCCTCCTGGGATGCTTTGAGAACACAAAGCTTCCCCTTGCTCATTACTGCTGGAGAACTGATTTCTGCTCCTGTCTGTGCCTACCTCCATGCTTTTTTTCTTATCTCAACTCCTTTCCTGCTCAGTAAATTTCAAGTGGCTTCTCTTAATTCAACTCCCTCCTTAAGATTCAGTTATACAGCAAAGTTTTCTTATTATGCTTCTCCCACAGGTAAATGAGAATTGACCTCACCTGTTCATGGGTGACCTACAGTTGAGCACCTTTCAAAAGTATATCATAGCAGGAAGAGAAATGCAAGTAGACGTGTCTCAGGGATAAATTATACTTGCTAATGCAGTTTGCCTAAAACCAAAGGTGCTTTGCCTGGTTAGTCGCCTTTTTTGGCTCCTCCATCTCACTGAGCAATGTGTCCTTGTAAGGTGGTCCATAGACTCACTTCTTGGTGCCTAGGTGGCTACAGGAGCCCTGTGGCCAAAACACTTCACCCACAGGTTGTGAGTTTACACAAGGCAGGTGCTGGGTTTTCTTTTTTCTGAGCAAGTAGCACAATAGTCTGCAGGAACTAAGTATTCCCACAGGAAATGAGAACTTCCTGCAGGAACTAAGAAGTATTTCCAACCTCCCCACTTTCCGGGCCAAGTAAAAGCACACTTATTCAATCTGGCCTTCTTTAAAAAAACAACACAGAACTCATCAGTTCTCACAGCTAATGCCTCCCACTCTTCCGCCTTGGGGGAGAAATGGTGAGAAAGAAATGGAGGCAGAGCAGTTGGTTCCATTCATCTTGGGACCCTGCTCAGCTACTTCTATACAAGGTATCATATGAAACCCTGAATAATATGGTTTGTTATTTTGTGTAGTGTTAAGCTGTGTGGTTCATAAGTCACACCAATATACCATCATGCATCAGATAAAATAGTGAAATTTACGTAGTTATCTGTAGTTATCTATGAAGTTAAACAATTATTGTTTATAGAACAAGAATCACAGTCCAAGGATAAATGTCTAAGTATGATTTTCTTGGTCTTTCATCTCCTACATACTCGTGCAAAATTAAAGCTTGGTAAGGAACAAAGGGGCCCCCTCTGCCCTCTAAAAGGAACAGCACAGAGCCTGTCCAGCCAAGTAATCATTGTCTACCATACTGTCTGGTGTGACTTTCACATCCTTTGAAGGAGCAAGGGATGTAATTACTATATTTAGTGCAAAGCTCCCTCTGCATTCTCAGAAAACATCTCTTCTAGGGTTGTATCATGGTAACATAAAATATAAGTTCCTGTCTTTATTATCTCCTAATAGATCTATGCTTCTCTAAAGTATAATCATAAGGCTGCTTAGGGGAACAGAAAACCACGTGGAGAACATCACTGTGATTCAACAAAGGGATGGGAGAAAGAATAATGTTTGTGCCTTGGGCATATTCAAATGTCTGCAGAGAAGGAACTGATTAGGCCAAGAAACAGTACTGATGGCAGTCACGGAAGCGAGAGTCCAACATGCTGCCTGTACAGGCACAGCAGTGTTCAGCAGTAGTCCAAGTAGAGAATGTATTTATGAAAATAATAAAGTGCATTCATCTCTAGCAGAGCAATTACCTTCGAGTTCACAGCCCAGCAGCTCCATTCGCAGCCCCAGTCCTCCATGTGTGGCTCTCTCAGGGTAGACGCGGATGAATCTCGTCAATACAGGCTCAAAAGTCCTCAGTTCAGGCGTGTCATAGTTAGTGTTGCCTTCAAAAGTCTGCAAAGCATGACAAATGCTACTTGTTAAAAAAAAAGAAAGCTATTTTCAATACTCATCTTTTTCACGATTCTAACTGCTTAATCAGTGTCAGGATAAATGAGAATGGAAAATACATAGTTAAAGCTTCTCAGAAAAGTAATGCATTTCATTTTTCATATACTCAGTAGCAACCAATCCATCAGGGTCATAACAAGAGCTGAGTGTTTAATGAGACATGTTTTTAAATGATGCTCTGATCTGGGGTTTTACTGGGTGACATTTTCAACACTTCTCAGGGAAAAAAAAAATGGCTGAGGTGAAGATCCTGTCACCTTTTAAGTGGTTACAATAATAACCCAACTATTCAAGAGAAAATTTCAATCTGATTTCCCCCAGTGACAGAGTTTCACAAGTTGTAGTTATTTCAGAAGGCATAAATTAAACTCCAGGAACAGTAGCTGCAAGAGTTCTTCCAGTGAGCCTGCTATTGAATAAGAATAAAAAGAAAGAAAGAAGAAAGCTGCTTCCTGACAAAACTGCAATATAATCTAACAGGCAAGGTAGGTCAGCAAATGTACATTTCAGACAAAAATATCTTCTCTGAGCTGCACTCTGAGTTCTTCAGCCATAATGCAGCTCTCAATGGCATTTGTTTGATACCTTCAGCTTCTCTTGTCAGTGATCTTTTGCATATAGAACAAGTTAGAACTTGTACTTATAACAACAACTGTGCCTCCATGGAGATGATTTGTCCTTAGAATGAATTAACTGTTCAAAGAAACCATCCTTGCCATGAAGAGTTTATAACCCAAGATAGGCAAAAGGAGTTATTTTCACCCTATTTTACAGTAAAAAATGGCTTCAGAATATCATGCAGTGAGTACTCTGAAGTACAAAATATGAAAATGTATATAACAATGAAATAAAAATAAAGTATTTTCAACCTCTCTTTTCTATGAATTAGTTAAATGACAAAACATGAAAAAAACATCTTCTTTGAACTGGAGTTCAAATTTGGGATTAGAAGCGCTATTTATAAGATACTTCCAACTCATAGCTGTGAAGCCACCAGATGTCCTTCATTTTGGATGAGAACAAAACCCAACCTGCAATTAACTCCTCATGTTGATCTGGGGGCAGATGAAACAGAGGCATGGGAAAAGCTGTCTGTATTCCCAAGGCATGAAACTAGCTTAGGTAAAACTGTTTGTTTCTTGTATTTTCAGTGCAGTGCCTTGCTTGTTTTTACTGCACACCTCTGTATTATGAACCAATGGTCCACAACCCCTTCTGGCCACTGGTTAGAGTACCAGTCACAAAAGTGAATATTGATGGGATACTATAATTAAAACTAAATTTAAAAAAAAAAATCAATATTAATGCTTCTGATTCTATGTCCTAGGGAAGATTGTACCTCTATGGTGGCTTCAAGGGGCACTGGTTGACCTGGTGCTCTGCAAGTGCTTGGAAAGCAGTTGTCAAGAATTCACATGTAGATAGCCTGTCAGATCTAATTAACATGCAATTACATATTATTATATTTGAATAGCAATATAGTGCAAATGATCAGAAAAGCTACCTACCATATAAGAAAGAATGAATGCCATTTTATGTGTAAAAAATAGACACACACATGTATCTGAGGAATCCTTGCTTCCTTTTTAATAGTAGTCTTAATAGCAACATATAATGACAACTGTTTCATAAAAGACATCAGTACTGGAATACTGACACATAGATATTAGAATTCAATAGGCATCAGGAATTATATTGAATCATAATTATATTGAATCATTGTCCTTTGTATTGCAGAGCTGCTTGCGATTCAATTTTGACTGTTCATTTGAAACACGTACTGATATGCTTTGTGGGGGAGGAGAGAGGAGTATACAGTAAAACTTTACTTTGTGAGGGTCTTTTATACAGGCTATGTCACAAATGGCTTTAATTTGTTACCAAGAAAATTTTTAATAAATAATAGCTAAATAAAAAAGAAGCTAAACTGGTGAGAGAAAAGAAAATCTTCCTAATATCTTTTAAAATCAAAATAAACATGGCAGAAAAATTTTAAAAGGTTATTCCAAATGGCAGGATTAAAAAACCCCAAAAAGTCATCAGTAGGTAAGTGGAAGGAGGAAAGAAGTATGAAAGAGAAAGATGACTTTACGGAGTAAACTTGAGTAAGACCATGGAGAAGAAATACAAATTGCATCTTGAAATGAAAATGGGGTTTTACATGGTTGGTTGAGGATTTGAGTGATGTTCACTCCTTCGAGTGCTTGAGCTAGGCTAAAGAGGCAAACTTTCTGCACATTCAAAAATAGCAGAAATTGGGTCAGCCACAGAGGAAAGAGTTATGGTAGTCTTAGTGAAAGGAGCTGCAGGCATGGATGACAAGATCATGTTGAGAAACAAGGTAATGTTTCATCCTTTGGACATATTCTGTTGTGATGTTTAGTTTGTCATTGCTATTTCTTTTCCTAAAATGCAGTTGTTTGTTTATTGAAAGTCAAGACTTTAACCAAGTGAAACGATGTGTTTCATTTCATACAACGGGGCGGTTTCTAATCCACTTTCCGGCTGTGACTCATTATAGCATGCTGTCCCATCCAGCCCCACTTACATTTAAAAATATACATTCCAGTATTAACATTTTAAATGTCTCAGACTCCCAAATCTTAGGCTTTATCTGATTATCTTTAAAAAAAAAAAAACTTGTGCTTCGGAAGAAAGTTTATTAAATGTCTTGAATTTTTGGGAAGGATTATAATTATGCCACAAGAGATTTGAATTCCAGACCTCTCCATTCCATTAATCTTGAAAGTTAATTTTTGGTAGTGGTGAAAGCTGAGGATGGGCTCAGTGCATTAGTTAGCATACTAGTTTTCTTGTCAAACTGCTAACTTCTGACAATGATGGTAAGTGCTTGTATTAGAAAACAGAAAGCCATGCAGCAGACGGCGCACCGCTTTGAAAGCATATGGCATTATTTTTTTCCCTCGTTGAGCCACAGTGTAGAAGTACATGTCAAAACAACATCTATTTTAGAAAGAAAATGGTTAGATCCCATTGTTGATTTACACTCTCTTCACACTTTATGATGAAGTCAAAACTCATGGTAACAAGAGAAAGGAGCTGACTGCAAAGGCTGAATTCATTTAGTTTTAATCCCCAAAACAAATGATGAAAAGTGATGAGAAGTGAGAAAACGCAGACATATTCAGTGAGATTAAAACAGGAGAGAATGAAGTCCAATATTTACCAAATGTGCCTGGAAAAGCTACATCCATGGGCCCACTCAGCTTTTCCTTTAAGGAAACACAGGTTTGTCCAATGGATGAGTCTATATAGCAAAACAGCTTTTACATCTAATTTTCAGATGAACGCAGCTGAGATACAGAGCAACTCTCAGGATTCCCATCTGCCAAGCACCACACCGATTTGCCTTTTGAGGGCACATTTTTGCTATATGATTCCATAATCATCCCAGTACCGCAGCACCAGTTCCTAAACAGGACTGCATGTCCACTGTTTTCCTCAAGGAACAGAGTAGGAGGACTAAAAAATGGTTATGCCTCTCAAGACAAAAATGCACTTTGTGAGCAATGATAACAAAACAGGATGGAAGACCTAATGAATGGGATTTGGGGTAAATAATCTAAACATTCATGTCCTGAAAAGCCAACATTCAAAGACAAACCAAAATAGGTACACTAATTTTCTTTTCCTTGGCATCTAACCCAGCAATTCATTTGGCCCTCTTCTGTAAATGTCTTGCAGGTTCTACTTGGACCTATGAACCAGCTGCCCTTTTTTCCCAAGCAACCTCCAAGATGCTTCACTTCTAATAGTACGATAGTGTTTTTCACTTAGGATGGGATAACACGTCAAAACCGCCATCACTTTCTTTCAATGCGACTTGGATTAGACCATTACGGAGAGCCTGTGAAGCTCTCAGAGCAGTCTACAGGCAGTTCAGAAATCCAGTGGGTACCCCATTGAGTTAAATAACACCATTCTCATTCTACAGCTCAGACAAAAAAGAAGCAAAGGAAAAGTCAGTGTTTCAAATAAGTTTGCTCAATGACAATGGAAAAAACTGCAGAGGGACCTCTACTTTTTTGGCACTGTTGCATATTACCATTGCATGGGATTTTGCAGTAACCTAGGGGCCACAGAGGCACACCTCCCTTGTCAGAAATTAAGTCTGAACTAGCTATTAAGTAAACAAAACCTTTGCTGCAGAGGCCAGCTCTTGCCCTCAGGCATGGGACAGTTCCCACAGGATCCCTTCAGAGCTGCTGCCCTAGGAGTCCTCCTGCTTGGCTCCATCCTGGCTATGCCTTTTCTAAGGTCAGAGATAGATGTGTAGAAATTTAATGCAAACTTTTTTTTTTTTTTTTAATGGAACTTTTTTTTAGTGCAGAGCTTTCCTCCTTACCTTTATCTTTTTCTTGCTGGAATCCATGATCATTTTCCAATCTGATCCATTGTTGCTGTAGCCAATTTTGAACTTTTTCATGAATACTTTGTTTTCCCGGTGCTTGCCTCCTTGGACAATTATGCCCCTCACTTTTTTTTCTTCACCAAGGTCTATTTGAAGCCATTCATTTGTATATGGGTGAGTAGTTGGTGGCAGTGCCCAACCTGAACGGCTTGTTATGAGGCGAGCATTCTCTGGGATCCAGTTTCGATCAACTTGAGTAGATGCAGTAATCTGAGAGTCAGGAATGAGCCCAGACACCATACCCAGCATCCCAGAGCAAGGATAGTCTATGAAGGAAAAAAACAAATAAATTAAATAGTTAATCTGAACAAGCACCAAAACAGAAACAGGACACATCAGTCAATTCAACTTTCATAAGCAATTACTTCTTTCTTATATCCAAAATAATCTCTTTGGATTTGTATATAATTTTCATTTGTTCAAACTTGCACATCCTAGTTTGGCAGGAAGTACCAAAATACCACAAGTATTTCTGGCTTGATGGGAACCAAAAGGATCAGAAAATCCTATTCTATTATTGTTTTCTATTCTTCTTGCTAAGGCAAAGAGTGCGGGGTCACATCTGAATTTGTTAATATTTCCCTAGAGAAAACTTCCAAAATCAGCCAAAGCTTGGTTGCAGATTAATTAATTTTGGTAACATTGGAAATGGAAATTTTTATACAACCTGTAAAATATAATTTATTGTTGTACTTGAGATTTTCATATTGTATTTCTTTAGTCTCTCAGGCTTTTTCAAATGACACAGAAGCTAAATAGTTGCTTCTTTCATGGTCCCAAATAAACATAAATTAGAAACAGGGAAAGCTGCTGACAAGGAATGAAATTTTCCAATACAGAATGTAGCAGTAGTTCTGCTCATATTACCTTTATCTAATCTGAAAAGATTTCATAGAATGAGCTGGAATTCTATAACGCAGTAATCAGTAATCTCATTTTCCTGTATGGAAACTAGTCCTAAGAAACATTTTCAAGACTACAGAAACACCACAAGGGAAAAAAGAAAATCCCTAGAACTATTAAAAATAGTGCCAATGACCTGTGTTAAGTGCTACAACATGAAACTAGGTATTTTTAAGAAAAATCAGCTTTGTAAAACTATTAAATCATTAACGTTTTCTTTAATATATAACTTCATGTATTTTTACTTTGCATATAAAAGCACCTCCATTTTGTATGAGATATGTAAATTCTAAAACTAGAAAAAAAGGATTTCTAAAATAATTCCTGCTTGTGCCTGTTCCCCCCGCCCCAAGGTAGCATTTTGATGATAATGAATGCCTTTTGCTGCTACCTCAGAAAGCATTCTGGACCGTTATTTTGGTAGTTAACTGTGTGATATAAAGGAGTTACATTCTAATACTGTTCGCTAGCAGGAACCCGACTATATACGTCTAGTTGCTTGAATAAGCTTCAGATCTAAGTGTTTATATCTTGCAGTGCTTTTAAACCTAGTTATGTATGTTTGTTCCTTGGAAAACCTGCCGAGAACTACCTACAAATAGGAGACTCGAGAGAGAGGGACTGGAGATTAAGAAAGAAAAGCAAGACAGGAATTTGCAAAATATCTGTGTATGTATCTCAGGTGTTTTGCACAAAGCTGTAAAATAATTGTAAGAAAAGTAATTAAACCTTATTTGTTTTTCACTTCTTAAAGCTGAACACCTAAAAGTTAAAGTCAGAACAGCATTCAGATAACACTGGATGTTTGGGTTGTTGTGCTTTATTTTCTTTGTTTTCCTTTTCACCTTTCTACATTCAGACCACAGTCGAAATAGTGAAGATGCATTTCACTCATAAAAATAAAACCCACAGCATAGACACAATAAATTCCCTTAGTTTTAAAATCCTTCCCAAGACCTACCTGTTATCTTGCAGCCATAAACTTCAAATCTCAGTGATACTCCATTTTCCCAAGACACAGGTCTAATTCGCACAAAACGTGTTAAAACTGGTTTGCCAAAAGGTCTGTAAACAACATCAGTGGGATTGCTATTCCCTTGAAACACCTTTGTGTGGAAAGAAAAAGTATATATTTGTTAGGCTTTCTTCTAAATGGTATTTATAATTCTGTGTTTTACAGGTAGTTCTGATACAAGGTCTATCCAGGATTATTTTTGGGGGAGATAAGACAAAAGACTTGCATGGAGAACTACTTCATTAAACTCCTAACACAATTCATGCAGGCAGATAAGCTTTCCCTGGGGTGGAAAAAAGATGTAAGGTAATGATACTAAAAAATACTTTCCACCTGCAGAGTCCCATAACACACCATAGTCCTGCACACCAGGAGAGTTCAGGGCCATC